TGCTTATGTATAGAGAAAAAACTTTTATGTCATTGTAATACAGTGACACTATTTGATTGATTAATTTATTTATTTATCTTTCTTAGCAATGAAACCCCTATAAAATATCTGGGTCTTACCTGGCCAGCCCACTCTAAAAGTACTAGCTTTGGCCTGGTGTTAGTTAGGTATATATATTGTTGTGTCTCGCCTCAGGCAAATCATTTCACATGACGTCATCAGTCACATCACATATGCGCTATTTAAAATTTCAGCACCCCCATCTTACAACACATTCAGTCTACTTGTAACCTAAGGCTACAGATGGCTAGTTAACTGGCCATCACTCCATTTCTCCACCAGGCTGGAGTCTGGACTGTGATTTTAGTGGGCTGGTCTACACAAAAGTCCAGGCCTGAATTTGTTTGTTTTGTTATTTGTTTTGTTTATGTGATCTGATCTGCTGTCACATTTCAGGACGACTAACCGGAAACACGATTGACTACTAATTGTAAATGCTTGTAGTTGAAATCTTGTCAGGTTACAATCCACATACACATGAAATGACCAGGCGTAAACAGACTCTAACACACCTGATTCAATTAATCTGCTAAATAACCTTTTGAAGTATGGAGTTATTATTGTCAATTTACTGTATGGTTTAAATGTAATTAATAAGTACATAGCTTGTTTGCTTAATGAATTAGATTTACATTTGATTTACATTCTGGATCAACAGGGTCAAGTCTTTTGAAGCCAAAAAAAGACAAAAACATGACAAAAATGTAAAGAGAATTTCATTTTTCTCACAAATTAGGAGCGTACACACAACATTGCCTCTGATACCTGCAAACACAAATGCGATTTGGACTAAAGGTTTACAATCTGCACTTTCCACAGAATCTCTTCTATCACTGAGCTAGAAATTGAAATTATTATTACAGAGTTACAGTACGCGGTTGTTCTCCCTGGTAATACCTCTTATGGCTTAAAAAGCTCTCCATGATTTAGATCAGGCATGTTAGATTAGAGAAAATGCTGAATTGTGCAGTAAAGAGAAGCTCCAGAACTGTCACCGCTAAACATTCAGAGCAGTCTGAGTGCGTTTATGAACTTAGCATCCTGTCTTGTTTGCTAATAAACCGGTCTAAGGTGCTCTAACAGGCCCACTGTGAGTGATGATGAGCTGTTTTACTGGTCACATGGCTGCTGAGGTGGCTGTGAGCACTGTGGCCCGAGTGCTGTTGTCCCGCTCGAGCGGCATGAGCTCTTTTCGTGTGGGATAAGCCTGTTCTGGTAGACTTGCTAACCTGGAGGGAAATTGTGTAACATGCATCAAGTCGAGTTTGGCTAACGAGGTCGTAGATGATGTGATTCTTGTAGACCTTCCCTTAACCTGAGAAAAAACTGCTTCGCTACTTAAAGAGCACAGGAAGTCAGAGAGAACAGAGAACCATGCTGTAAAAGACTCTGCATGCTGTAATGTTATGCAAGCTCAGCCTGGGAGCATTCCAGAGAACCGATCTATGGTCCTGCTGAAATCGTTGGTCTGGGGTTCGCTTCCAGCCAACTCTGGTACAGCTGCTAATGTAGAAGCTATCTGCTCCCAGCACCGTGTGTGGGGCTGCATGATTGGTTCATTTTGTAACTTGACTGGTTCGACTTATTGTGTTACTTCCCTTTTTAAGTTTCGTGATGGTGGGGAGAGGATTGGATGTTGTGAGCAGTCGTATGATGAGAGGATGTTCTGAACAGCCATATGATAATCTCATGTTATCACTATTATGCATCAATATATGGGTCATTCTACAGAAACGTCCACTTTTCTATCTATCCATAGGAGTCGCTGGTGTTACACATAAGAAAGGTAGCACCAGAGACAGGAACACCAGTGACATTTCTAATGAAAAATGCATTTTAAATGGCTGTTATAGAGCATCAAACCACATGTTGTCAATCATGGTATATCCCTAAAATATGTAATTTAATCCATTTGTATTCTATTTTTTCACAGTTACCTCAGAATAAAGTCGGTCACACCAGTGACTTCAGCTAAAAGCTTCATATGAAATCATGAGCTAAATGAGAAAATCTCTGATAACTGAAAGACTCAGTGGACTCACCATGTGCTTTTCTTCACAGATCCTCAGAAAACAGGTAAAAGGAAGTCGAGTGATGTCATCAGTGTGACTTTTATTTCAAAATAAGAGATTTTTTGTTACGAGGTAACACCAGTGACACGACTCCTGGGGACCACAACTTTCATTATAAATTGTGTAGATTATTGCAATTAAAATTGCAGAAAAACATGTTTTTACCTCAAAATATGACCTCACCCTTTACACATGACTGTGGAGACGAGCACTTCTGTGGTGCTTGGAGTTCTAGATAATTGATTTAAAAAACAATATTGCTAAATTGATGGCTCAAGAAGGTGTAATTAATAAAATAACGTATTATTTTATTATTTAACCCTAACATGTTTCTGAAGTGTACTATATCTGTGAACGCTAGGGACACAAAAATGGACGTTTCTGTAGAATGACCCATATGCCTGAAAAAACACGTTATAGGGCTGAAGCAAGGTTACTGTAATAAGCTCACTGTTGTGGAGCGAGAGTGTGTACTGAGACCATGGCAGAAAATGCATGCCTCATGCTGGCCTGCCTGGCTAAAAACCTTCTCATATGAGAACGGCTTCTTGTTTTCAAAGGAAAATAATAAAAAAGCAGCTGCACACAGTAAATTATGCAATCGATCTATGGTACAGATAGAATTCTTGCTTTAGAAAGCAAACCAACGATAATGAGCTCCTCCCACAAACCATCCCAGAATTGGTCCTGGGTGTGGATTCAAGTATTCGGGACAAGTGTGAAAACACCCTTAAGAGAGGAGAGCCTTAGTTGGTACTGGAGCACATGCCCTGCAGCTCTGAGTGAGAGTGCTGATGTAGGAACAGCCCCCAGTGCTCCTCTTCCGTGGGATATGAAATGCTAAATGTGCTTGCAGGTCAGCACTCTTACTCCCAGGTTCGTACATATGTCTGCAGGTGTTTTAGGGAAATCCGGCCTACTTTGTAATTCTAATGCTGTTTGTCAACCTGTATGTGTAGCTTTAATGTTAAAAGTAACAGTGAGATCAATAATATTTCAGACGCCTTTAGGCTGATGCAGGAATGCGATCGCTTACTGGTGTAAATAGATGGACCTGCACTGCTGAATTTGCATTGATGCACTGTTCTTGGCTGGCTGAGGGAGTGGGTGATATTTAGGAATAGGAAGCTTTAGGTGCATGTCTGACAGGAGGCTTGCTGAACAACACCAGATCAGATCAGTTCTTTTTATATTGGTTGTATCTTATCAGTGTGCGGCCACCGGCGATTGGATCGATACATAACTGTAATGCCTGCCACTGATCTGCTTTTACTAAGGCAGAGCTGCACTCCTGCTCAGATTATTACAGCCAGTGTGGAAACTTTGTTCTTTGTAGAGTTATTTGAGATGCATTTTAATATGAGAAAATTATTTTTTATTACTATTATAATGGTAACACTTTGCGTGAACTCTGCTTCATAACATTGACATAGCCATGCCATAAAAAAGGTCATGGCAGATTTTATATTGTGCCCAAAAGACTTTATCTAGTAATATAACAATGTCATGTTACTGTTACCCTTAAAGTGTGTTTAGGATGTTTTCTAGATACAGCAAACAGTTTATATATCAGTACATGCAGTTTCCAGATTTTGAGTGGTTTGCAAAATGTATTGTAATCAGATAGATTCATCCCGTTTTGTATGACAATTGTCTTGTCGACTTAGACGTAAAGGTCAGCGTATTCCTGTTGTGATTCGGTGCTTTGTGGTTTGTAGTTTAGGGCTGCTGGAGGTGGAACAAACCGCTCCAGTTTCTGACTGGGTTTGAAGTAAATTGCATTAGCATCAGAACATGTTTGGTTACAGTAGCTGGCTTGCTCACTCAGTAATTAGCAACATGGGGTGCGTTGTTGTTTGTTGTGGAAATGATCCATCGAGAGCACAAATCAGTCTTCATTTCCACTCATTTCCATTGAGAGACAGAGATTTGTGCTTATTATGGCCACCAGTGGTAGAACCATCTGAAACCGGGAGTTATACCCACCATTTTTGCATGGATTAGAACATGGCGAAGAAGAGAGGCACAGTCTTTGCAAAATTGTTTTAGGGTAACATTATTCAATTATTTGGCCTTCTTCAGCAGACAGCATACTTGTATGAACATTGGTCACTTAGCAGCTCCCACTTGTTCAGGAAGTACTCCCGGCACAGCGGATGAATACTTATATGTGATTAAAGCGTGTAGAGGCAGATAGACGCTTCACTGGCCGCCTGGAATGCTGCCACTGATAAAGAGAGTAGACAGAGTTATTATGAGGTGCATTTTGTCCAGGTCAGCAGAGGTGCAGTACGTATTTTGCTGTTGAATGTAGTTTTCTGGGAGTAATTATTTAAGCAGTTGATAGAAAAACTAGGTGCCTAGAATCAACCCGGAACTGCTTAAAAGAGCTCAAATGGCAAATAAGGTTAACTTCCCTTTAACTGTCGTGTTTATGTCATGTCGCCTTACTAGAGGTCACAGCAAAAATTACTGTGTGTCATAAGCTGTCACGACATCAAACATTATGGCATCTGTCATAATTACCAGTAATGGTAACATGACATTTTTAATACAATATCTGTTGCAACAACGTATGATATCTACCATGAAATGTTTATGACATGTTTATGGCATGGTTATGTCAATGTTATGCACACTATGTTAGTAGCTCATAAAAAGGACAGTTATTTGTTCTTGCTATCAGCAGAGATTAAATGCAGTGGTATTCCAGAAACCTGATATAAAGGGTTCTCTAATCTCTAATCTACACACCTGACTGACTCTGACAGTGCCCTAACTCACCTCTCACTGTCCACTTTACCTTTGCCAGTCTGTCCGTGAATAAAACTGACCGCTTGTCTCTCTCTCTGTCTCTTTTTGTCCTAGCTGGATGCTGAGGCCAGCGATCTGCTGAAAGAGCTTCAGAATAAACTCAACGCAGTGCTGGATGACCTCAGCAGGGTGTTTGGATCCAGGTAACACTCAGGCTTTGAGTCCATGTTTCAGGCTTTGAGGCCATGTTTCCATTCAGAAAACAGATCATGATGAGAAGAGCCAGAATTTGGGTTGATTACACTATTATTTACCACAGAAGGTCACCGAGTTGTTGTTATACCAACTTTCAAGAATGCTAAATTACTAATGTAGTTATACAACTGTATCTTTATAATTGTAACAGCATATTTTCTCTTATGTATTGTGTAATAGGGCATAGGGCAAGGGTAATAACATAGGCAAAGGTTAGCACATTCTCTAAATTGAACACACTTCTTCACACTTTAATCCACAATTACTGTTTATTTACTGGATTTAACATATTGAAAAAAAGAATGAAAAAAGTGTCCCGTGCACAATTATGGCACATTTAATATTTTATTTTGTATTTTTACTTTTCCCAATATGTAACTCATTATGCAATTAACTTTAAAATCTACAAAACATGTCATTTGAACTTCTGTATTGGACTAAATTCACAGCATGCTTTGTTATCACTGGAGTTTTTAGTGACTTCTAAGCATTAAAGCTCATTATCTGCATGTTGTACTTTGATTTTGTTTCACTCTGCAGCTTCAAGCCAGTTATTGAGGACTGTGTAAAGCAGATGAATCAGGAGCTGTTACAGATGAAGGGGAATGCTGGGAACAAAAGCAACGCCGCCATGGACGCCGAGACCGTCCTGCGACCACTTATGGACCTGCTGGATAAGAAGTGAGACATTCTGAAAACAAATAGCTACTCTTGTGTGTGGTTGACAGGGTGCTTTGTGAGCATCTTCATAAAAACATTGTACAGTGAGAAAACTGTGATGGGAAAATGTGTAGCGATTCAGCTACATCAACTTTGGAATGCTGAGGTCAATTATAGTTCATTAAAATAATATTCAGTTTGCTGTTTTTTTAGGCAATATAAATTCTTCTGGCTCTGTTGAAACAACATGTTTAAAAAGGGGCAACGCCTGTGACTGTCTATAAGAACACATTCATAACAAATTCCAATGCAACTATAAGGCTTTATAAACGTGGCTACACATTTTTATGAAAATACATAATACTTTATAGTAGTATGTTTATTATGAATTACATATTGTTCAAATAATGTACTGTATTTATGACTTATGGTTTGCTATAATGCACAATGCAAGCTGGGACAGCATTTCTATATAATGACAATGTAATAACAGTGTTATGAACTGTATTTATGTTCGAATTCAAAGTGCATAATAAACATGGCTATAAAGTGTAATGCATTTTTGTAAGCATTTATAGCTGTGTTTATAGAGCCTTATGGATGTATTTTTATTTGTTATGAATGTGTTCATATATTCTTATAGACATGGTTTTAATAGGAAGTGTTACCAGAATTGGCTTGCTGTAATGATTATATGTCCCACTACTGTATAAATAGTTCCTCCAGTTATACACATGTATTAAATGCATTTTTTAAAAATAGGTTTTGAACCTGCCAAAATAACCAAATGAAATTGCGGTGAAATCATAGAATATATGATTCACTCAATCGTTTCAGAGTCAATATTCCCAAAGAGTCAATTGATAATTGAACCCAATCACCACATCACCAGTGCTTTGAATAATTTTGATTTCAATGTATAAATCAAATGAACTGCTGTCTTACAGTTTATTTCTTTTGGCAATAATTGTTCTAATCTTAAATCATTTTTTTCACATTGAACCAGTTTACACATTTTTGGTGTTATTAATTTTATAAGAGGTAAGACATATCCTGGATCGTCACACAGAATTTATTTATATGACTTCAAATCTATTTTCCTCTCAGTTTCGATGGGCTAGTTTCCTCTCAGACAGGACTCCAGTCTGCTTTGTAACTGTATTGCTGCTTGCCCATCTGCGCATTTAGCCTTAATCCCAACTCACTGACAGCAACATCACCAGTTCATGTCAAGCATGACAACTTAATAAGCCCTTTTTATACTTCTCTGCAATTGGACCACACCATCCTTCAGCCCCACAGGTCCCTGCCTGAGTCAAAATACACTACAAACTGTAGTGTGTGTTCAAATAAAGCAGACTACTGTTTGACAGATATTTTCATATCACCCCTCAAGAAGTGGAGAAAAATTATATATATTTCAAAAAGAACGTAAAGTTCTTTTTTCTGAACCAATGCAAAAGAGGTGAATGAGCAGACTAGAGGTGCTGTAAAGTACTGCATGCTTTAGAGCAATTATTGTATTATTTTAAACAATGTCAAGTAATACCTACTTCACAGCACTTAAGGTTTGCACATCCATATTATGGTCAGCGTAAAGTAGTGTACACTTCAGAGCAGTTATATGAAGCACCCTTGTTATGGGCAATGTAATGTGCACCCTTAATGTGTGTGTTGTAAAAGAAGTGCACACTTCAGAGTAAATGTAGAATGCACCCTTTATAATGGGCAGTGTATAGTAGTGCACAGTGCAAAGCAAAAATACCATGCACCCTTTTTGAGGGTATTGGAAAGTAGTGCATACTTTAGAGTGTTTGTAGTATGCACCCTTATTATAGATGGTGTAAAATAGTGCATACTTCAGAAGGACTGTAGAATGCATCCTTATAATGGGCCCTGTAAAGTAGTGCATGCTGCAGAGCAATTGTAGTATGTACCCTGTATAATGGTGATAAGAGCGATAGTAGTGTTCACGTTTCATGGAAAGTAGCGTTTACTTCTGAAGGATTGTAGTTTGTAGTATATCGCTGCTGTCAGAAGACAACCTTGTATCTCCATTTTTGTTTTTCAGTATTTGGCATCATTTGAAAATGCCTGCTGCCCTTTACATTGTGTGTAAATATTACAATGAATGGACCAAAAGAAACGGCCCAAAATGACTTGGAAAAATGTCTGGTTCCGTTGACGTACATTAAAAGTAAAGTAGGTTTTTTCCTTCTACTGTAAATTTACATATTTGGAGATGTGAGGTTTTCTTCCGACAACAGCGATATATATCTTTATCATGGGCTCTGTAAAGCAGTGTATACTTCAGACCAATTGTAGTATGCACCCTTTATAATGGGCTTTGCATAATGCAGAACAAATATACCACACAGTCTTGTTATGGACATTGTAAAGTGGAAGCATACTTTAAAGTGGTGGTATGCATCTGTTCTAGGGGAAGAGTAAATAGTGTGTACTATGCAGTTGTATTACAAAGTAATTGGAGTGTACTCCTTTATTACAAATAGCGAACAGTAATGCATACTTTAGAGCAACTGTATTATGCACTCTTGTCATAGGCATTAGAAATTAGTGCATATTGCAGAATGAATGTAGTATGAACCCTTATCATGGACAATAGTACATTCTTTAAAGTGAGTATTGTATGGACTCTGGTTATGGACAGTATAAAGTAGTGCACTGGGGTTATGGGCTGTAGACAGTAGTGTACAATGCTGAACCGTTTCCAAAAAGTGCATTCCCAGTGGGCATGATGTGTAGAAAATGTATTTCCCCTAGTCTAGATGTCCAGGGGCATCTGTCCACTCTTCTTCCGCAGAGCATCCAGGTCACAGGGGTATTATGGAGAATCCTCTTAATCACATGCAAACGTCAAATCCTTGTGCACTTCTGGTTTCATCTGCGTTCTAAGCCGTAAACATTACAATTCAGAGGAATGAGAGTGCAATGCACTAGTGTTTATGCCATGGGTTTCTGAAGTCTGATGTAGGGGTGCATGATGAAGTGGTGACTGCATCATTATTTGCAGATAATTTGGAAAATTGAATCATTATAGGCCAAATAGTGGAATTACAGAAATTTAGTGCCCCGTTTTAACTTGAAGTCTCTGGATAAGAGCATCTGCTAAATATCTAAATTCATCAAAATGAATGAAAAGTGTTGTCTGACTTTTGCTATATTAAGGGGATTATTCAATGATGCCTTCCAGCTTTGTTGTTTACGTATTTTAAGTTTTAAAGGCATAGTTTGGTGAAAAATCTAATTTACATACATTTTTATTTGCCCCAGGTACAGTAAATAAGCCAAGACATGTTTGGTTTCTGACGTTTGCTACCTTAGTGTAGAACTGCATACATGGAAGTCAATAGTCACCCAAACTGGATAAACGTATACCTAAATCTTCTTATATTTACCTCAAATTACATCAGTTATCTACGTAAACTTGTAAAATGGCATAGATAGACGTTATTTACACATTTAAGCTAACATCGGAGCTACATCACATCCACATAATGTCCAGCTTTACAGCATGCATTCAAACTCTGGGAGTCTGGAGCCTGGTGACTTGGAGACTGCTGGGTCCAGCATCCCATAGACCTACTCGTTTCTTCATGAGTATATTAAGGTTCAAATATGCAGTTGAGGTGGAAAAAATGAAATGTGGTTTTCAAATTCATAACTACATTGTTTTGAATTTCTAAGTTCACTCACTGAGCTTCTCTATCTACGTTGCCCTACAGAGCATCTGTGTTATGAATTCCTTCAGACCTGTCTTTGGTTGTCTTGGAATGATACCAGATTGTGCTCAGGAAAGTAGTAATTCCAGTTATCCTAGATGGCTGCACCACGTATTTTCGCTTTTGTAGTCCACAGTGAATCACACTGTGTTCTAAACCACATCCACTCATCGGCCCCACATGAATGAAGAGCTGGACGCAGTTTGAGCAGCTTGAGAGAAGTTTTGAGGATGTATTTGCAGAAACGGTTTGGCTATTGACCATGATTTATTAGCAATTTGTATGCCTAACTGTGCTGATCAACTGCATTTGGTGGAATTTTATGTAAATTTGATTATTATCCAAACCGTTTGTTTAGCACTCACTGCTCTTCATATGTGGATTATAATGTGAACTTAAAATGCATAAAAAGTAAAAATATTGGTATCAGCCACAACAAAATGTTAATTTTCAGTTACCATTATCAGCCCAGGAATTCCATATTGGTTCAGTGCAAACAGTGTGAAAAAGGGTGTGAAAGTGTAATAGCAATACTGTAGAGTGCTCAGTTATATTCCTCTCTCTCTCTCTCTCTCTCTCTCTCTCTCTCTGTCTGTCTGTCCATCTCTCCAGTCTGATTCTGTTTGCCAAGATCTGTGAGAAGACGGTGCTGAAGCGGGTTCTGAAGGAGCTGTGGAAAATCGTGCTCAACACCATTGAGAGGCAGATTGTCTTGCCTCCTCTAACAGACCAGACGGTAAGCTGCCATGTAGCGACTCCTTCACAGCCAAGACGACACACAAAGCCCCCAGCATGACGGTCCGCTGCATCTGCTCCCAGCATAGGGTTTATATAAACACACCGACTGACGCACGGACAGGCCCATTCAACACCTCATTTGGGTGCCGGTGGAGGAATAGAATACAGTTATAGGAGTGACTAACAGGAGTCTGAATCTGCCAGCCAGTCTTGTGCAGTCTGGTTCATAATTCATAGCAGTTATGGGATAATAAGTCTTGAGAGTAATAAATGAATAATAAGCCTTAAAAGAGTTTTGGCTGTACAAAGTTGACCCAGCTTGATGAAACAGCACTCATGAATGTTAAAAGGTTAAAGATGTGCTACACAAGGTGTTGTGAAAGGGGAATTCCATCGTTCTTTCTAGATTTCTGCAAAATTAAATGGTTGAGATGTAAACAGAGTCATTCAGAGTGGTTTGGTGTGAAACGCTCCGTTCTAGAGAAGTCATAATTATTCACAGTGGTGATGATAGGAACCAGGGGTTGTGATGCCTACAACATAAATGTAACCGTTTTATTTACAATGAGTTTTCGTATAGAATAATGATGAGATTAAGTAGTGGTAAATCTGAAAAAGTAACATTTGCCTTACAGTGCTCTGCATGTATCTCTCTGCTATGAATGTATTTGAAAAAGGCCAAAACCTTCTCAAAACTATCGTGAAACAGTGTCTCAAACATCAATCAGCATATTCATAATCATTTCATGTAGTAACTTTCTGTGAGGGAGCTTTTAGAGGTGGACGTCTGGTTCCTATCACCACCACTGTGAACAGTTCTGACTCAGCAAGTTTATCTAGAACAGAGCGTTTCACACTAAACCACTCTGAGCAACTCTGTCAACATCTTAATGATTTAGTTATGCAGATTTTTTTCTGTGGAATTCCTCTTTAAGGATAATTATTCGGTTATTAATTGTAAGATTGTGTTAATAATTGGTATTGTAGTTCTCTGCCATGTTTACGATACCATACTTTAATGGTATTGTGATAGCATCTGGTCACTCAGTACCAGCTTTTCTTGGTTTTTCTGATTTTTATTAGTTTAAACCATTTGAAAACACCAGCTGTCTTTTAGAAAATGTCCACATTTACATGAAATAAAATCTGGTTACATTGACGTACATCAAAGAGCATTTTATTCTAAGTTACTGTTTCAGAGATAAAGATTTGTCTTATGATAGCAACATACTGAAACTCACTGCTTTCTGGTCTGAGTGAATTCTGGTCATTCATGAATTCATGTCTGTCGTCTTCATTTCCTTCTTTCATGCAGCAAGGAGCTCAGATGATTTTCAGCGCTGCCAAGGACCTGGGACAGCTCTCCAAGCTGAAGGTAAGAACTTATTTCACTGTCTATACTGTACAGGATTGGAGCAAAATTCTGCAGGGCAGTTGATGTCCAGCCACAGGGTTAGGACGACTATATTTTCGTGGTAAAACACTTCAACATAAAATCTGAAATAAAAATGCAAGAAATGATACATAGTATAAGTTATATATAATATAAAATATGTGAGAGGGGTGGGGATAGGGTAACTTTCTGGTGGGCCACACTTTGAGCAGCCACAGAATTGTTGATTTAGCATTGTTAGTAGAGAGGACTGTGCAGGTGAGAGGAGTCAGGGTATTTTTCTACTCTAAGAGAAGAATGTGAAGTGAAATCTGACTGAAACCAGCTCTTTTGAACGTATATATAGTATTTGTTGTGTTTTTTTTTTTTTCTCTGAGCATCAGGCAGTCGCTTTCAGTTATAAACTGAAGTGGATCATTGCCACTCCTCCACATTAAAGAATCCTACTAGGCACCAGGGCTCAGAGTCCTTTCATACTGTTCTCACTCCCTACTTTAAAGCAAAATAATTTCCAGCCTCCGCTAAGACTCTGCAGCTGTCAGTCACAGCCTCCCACTGCTGGCTGGATAAACTCTAACAATGCTGCTTCTTCACTTTGACCACGCTACAGTACTTATAGATGAACTGTACAGTTTGTAGTGAACTGCAAGTGTGCACAGTGCTATACTGAAATAAACTGAGCGTGGACAGCGCTATACTGAAATAAACTGAGTGTGCACAGTGCTATACTGAAATAAACTGAGCGTGGACAGTGCTATACTGAAATAAACTGAGCGTGGACGGCGCTATACTGAAATAAACTGAGTGTGCACAGTGCTATACTGAAATAAACTGAGTGTGGACGGCGCTATACTGAAATAAACTGAGCGTGGACGGTGCTATACTGAAATAAACTGAGCGTGGACGGCGCTATACTGAAATAAACTGAGCGTGGACGGTGCTATACTGAAATAAACTGAGCGTGGACGGCGCTATACTGAAATAAACTGAGCGTGGACAGCGCTATACTGAAATAAACTGAGCGTGCACAGCGCTATACTGAAATAAACTGAGCGTGGACAGTGCTATACTGAAATAAACTGAGCGTGGACAGTGCTATACTGAAATAAACTGAGCGTGGACAGCGCTATACTGAAATAAACTGAGTGTGCACAGTGCTATACTGAAATAAACTGAGCGTGGACAGTGCTATACTGAAATAAACTGAGCGTGCACGGTGCTATACTGAAATAAACTGAGCGTGCACGGCGCTATACTGAAATAAACTGAGCGTGCACAGTGCTATACTGAAATAAACTGAGCGTGGACAGTGCTATACTGAAATAAACTGAGCGTGGACAGTGCTATACTGAAATAAACTGAGCGTGCACAGCGCTATACTGAAATAAACTGAGCGTGCACGGCGCTATACTGAAATAAACTGAGCGTGCACGGCGCTATACTGAAATAAACTGAGCGTGCACGGCGCTATACTGAAATAAACTGAGCGTGCACGGTGCTATACTGAAATAAACTGAGCGTGGACAGTGCTATACTGAAATAAACTGAGTGTGGACAGTGCTATACTGAAATAAACTGAGCGTGCACGGTGCTATACTGAAATAAACTGAGCGTGCACAGCGCTATACTGAAATAAACTGAGCGTGCACAGCGCTATACTGAAATAAACTGAGCGTGGACGGCGCTATACTGAAATAAACTGAGCGTGGACAGTGCTATACTGAAATAAACTGAGCGTGGACAGTGCTATACTGAAATAAACTGAGCGTGGACAGTGCTATACTGAAATAAACTGAGCGTGGACAGCGCTATACTGAAATAAACTGAGCGTGCACAGTGCTATACTGAAATAAACTGAGCGTGCACAGCGCTATACTGAAATAAACTGAGCGTGCACAGCGCTATACTGAAATAAACTGAGCGTGCACAGCGCTATACTTAAGCAAATTGTAAAGATGCGTGTTGTTTTATTAAACTGCAGTGAGTATTGGAGGAATGCATCACTATGTCTATTTTAATGGAAAATAGTAAAGACTGTGCCTCAGTTATCCAACACCTTCCTTACATATATTTCCTAAACACAGCTGATCAGAATACCATTAGAAATATTTGCATCTGAAGTACTTGATGAGAGAGAACCCATTAGCTATTTTTCAATCCTAATCGCTCCCTGAAGAACCCTCAGGATATGAACAGGTGGAACTGGAAGAGCACTGCAGGCCTGTTCTTCATTAGAGCTCATCTGCATACAAGCTTCCTCTCTCTCTTTTCTTCCCTGCCTCTCTCCCCCTTCTTTGTCTCTTGTTCTCTCACTCTAATTCTGCATCTGTCTATCTGTCTATTATTGCTATTTTGCTATACATTATTACATTAACAATAAATGTAATGAATCACACTTACATTTTATTTACTTGTTTCATTGACGTGTGTACTTCTGACATTTTTGTTCTGATGCCAGAAAAGAATGTTTTATCTTTAACAACACTGCACATTACAATAGCCTCATCAAATTAAAATAAAAAAAACTTGTTTTATTGAGATTTAAGTGGGAAATACAGTACAGTGCAAAAGTCTGAGACCACTTTACATTTAAAAAATCAGAGTTCTGTGTGACTAAATTTGATACAAGATGGTCTGAAAGGATGTGTAGCTGTCAAGAAGACACTGAGAAAAGGAGACGGACACATCAAACAAAGAAGCTGAACGATGGACTGACCACCCCAGAGTCCAGACCTCAACATCACTGAATGTGTTTGATTACTTCAGAAAATGATCAACCAGCTTCTGAGACTGAACTTTGGAGGTGTGTCTGCAGATTCTTTGAGAAACTGAAAGCAAGTCTCTTAAACAGAATGGAATTAGAGAGACACACTACTGAAATCTGACATTTTAATTAGTTGTTGAAACGTCTGTAATTTTCTGTTAAATATGTTTTCTTTTTTTTACACACAAAATAAATAAGTTCTACTTCTTGGCTGTTTTGACTGAAAAGTAAATAAATGAATGGTGGTCTCTGACTTTTTTACAGGACTATAATTCATAAAATTACAACATGCTTTCATCAGTGGCAAAAACACAGAACCTCTAAGGGTTACATCCCTCGTATCTTTTGTATCTCTTCTTCTCCCTCACTCTTTCTCTCTCTCTCTGTAATTCATTTTTTATGCATTGAAACACTCCAGGCCTCCTCCTCCTCCGCTTCATCATTACTCCTCACTCTTCTCTTAAGCTGTTCTCCAGCTTCAGTAATCTCAGTCTACAGCTCTGCATCACCACATCATTTAGCACATAACACCTCACCAGATGCAACTTTTCTGTCTAATAAACAGCTTACACAAGCTCCAAAAGGCCTCTCAGTTTTGAGGCATCATCACCCTGCGTGTCTGACCTTCTGCTCCTCAGCGTGGTTTAAACCAGTGGTTCACATGTCTTCCGTGTGCTTTTGATGGTGTGGTATAACTGGGCATTAGCAACTCCATAATGAAATCTGTACAAATTCTTCATCAATATGAGTTTTTTCTGTTATCTAATTTATATAAAATGTGTCTAATGTACGGCTAATGTACATTACATGCCCAAAAATATATGTACACCCAAACATTACATCCATATGTACTTGCTGAACATCTCATTCCAAAATCAAGGCTTTTAATAGTGAGTTTGTCCCGTTTTGCAGCAGTAACAGCCTCTACTCTTCTGGAAAGGCTTTACACTTTAAGTTCTTCACCACCTAACTTGGCAAATCAATATCAAGTTTCATCTAGAGTTCAATTTTCTGTCAGCTTTTGCTGTCAGCAGCAGTGGATAAACTAGATGTAGAGTTTTCAGTCCTGGTTAAACCTTTAACTTACAAATAAACCCAAACTTCAACAATAAGGCACCATTAGAAGCATTAGCGTTTCTTTGCTGTCAGAACAAAACCTTGTATCTCCAAAATGGTAACTTTACAGGAGAAAAAAAAACATGCTTTACCTTTAATGTAAGTCAATGGAACCAGATGTCTTTTCAAGTAATTCTAGGTCATTTCTTTTGGTCCATTCATTATAAAAATTATGCACAATGTAAAGGGCACCGCGACCCAGAAGGATAAGCGGTTTAGAGGATGTGTGTGTGTGTGTGTGTGTGTGTGTGTGTGTGTGTGTGTGTGTGTGTGTGTGTGTGTGTAAAGGGCAACAGGCATTTTCAAACCGTGCCAAAAACTATGCAAAAAAATGGACATACAAGGTTTTGATCCGACAACAGTGATTTGTTCAAAACACTATTTAATAGCAACTAACACCTGCACATGGGCAGGAACACCACTGTTACATCACCATCAGCGTCACATATCATCACAGATAACACCAATTCTGTTATAAGGCATGGAACAATGCTTTTTTCACTGCCAACATGTAAATGCAGCATTAGATCCCCCGTCACTGGAGCTACAGCTCCGGTCTATTATTCCTCCTCCACCAAACTTTACAATTGGCACTGTGCAGCTGTATCAAACAAACTTGAAATGGCAACGTACTTTACACCACTCTAGCTGATGCTCAGCAATGCATATGGTGATCTTGTATTATGGTCACCATGGAAGCCCAATCCATGAAGCTCCTAACAAACAGTCTTGCTGATTTTGCTTCCAGACGCAGTCATATAGCGTGTTTGTTTAAACAAATCATCAACACTAGCTTGTTTCTGTCATTTCCTCTTACTTGCAGTTGGCCAGGGCAGCTCTAGCAGGGCAGAAATTTAATGAACCGTCCTGTTGTAAAGACCCAAAAAGTTTAAAAATCACTTTGTCCACTTGCGCCTGTGTGTGTATCGATCCTGCTGTTTCAGCTGGTGAAGCGTGAGCCTTTTGGAGGGCAAAAGCTGCAGTCGGATTAGCAAAGACAGCGAGTGAGGTTAGAACGGAGAATTATAGCCCGATCAGGTTCGATCTCAGAACTGTTGGCAGATGCAGGTCTGCGCTAACGGCTAATCAATACAGTCAGAAAAAGAGTAGAGTGTGGTGTAGGGAACCAGTTCTGACCTTTCACAGGAGAAAAATCAATGGACAGCTTTTTCTTTATAGCTCCTCTTATAGCATCTCACAGTCATACGCACACAGCTGTATTATATGGAGAGTTCTTGGAGAGCGTGGCTGGCATGATTGCTTGTGCAGTGAGAGAAGTGAAGCGGCTGTTAGATCGACCCGGCCCTGCTGGAACGTTATCAGTGTCCAGCTAGCTTAGCTGCGCCAGGCATTAGCAACCTTCGACCAGGCCTGATTAAATGAAACTGAAGTTTCATCACTTCTCTCCCGGGATGAGGTTTTGCTCTAAGCCTTGCTGATATCAAAGCTGGGCTTGAAAGTTGGGGAGGTTTTCTTTTTTCTTTTTTTTTTAAACTGAGAGTTACTTCAAGGAAGGAAAGACTACAAATCACAATCACAGAGAGAGAATAAGGCGAACAAATGAATCAAAGGAAAACTGAAATTCCTTGAAAGTTTTTGGCTGAATTTGGATTATGTACTCCATTACCACCCACTTTGCTTCTGTACTCAATGCTTCTGCACTCAGTGCCTAAACGTGCATTTGGACAATGTGGACAGAATTCTTATCACAACATATTTTTCCATGTTATGCAATGTTGATCATCAGTGAAAATTATTATATACATTTCCGTGCTCCATTTCAATAGTTCAGAGAATGTATAGCATTTCTCCTTGTTTTCCACAAATGCACATCCTTTTTATTCTCCATATTTCCAGCATTGAAAATAGCTAATGATGTCCCACCAGTTGTGCTGTTGAGAGTGAATGGCTAGACTTCTTCTCCCCCGTCTACTGAATAAATAGTCTTTGAGAGCCTGAGTTGATCTCGTAAAGCCTTGTCTTCACTGCATGACTTTTAATGTCTTAAGAAATTATAAAAAGACTGGGGGTCTCACACTATCTGACTGTTTTTTGCAGATTTTTTTGGGTGACTGAAAAATTGGGGCTCACATAAACGATTAGGGATCACACACTAAACGATTACTACACACACTAAACGATTAGGGATCACACACTAAACGATTAGGGATCACACACTAAACGATTACTACACACACTACTCAACTTTTAAGCTGTTGCTGAGCCAAAAGGAACTCACTGAACTCTTGCGTTCTCCCGTTACTATGAGACCCAAATAAACAAACATAGAGCTGCTCGCTGCTGCTGCTTGCACTGACTCAGTAAAGAAGCAGCAAGTAAACATGTTTTAGAGTTTTAAACGTACAAACTCGATTGTGCCTTAAACTCAGCTCATTAAAAAGCTTTGCTCCACATCTGAGAGATATTTCGACATTTTTCTTTGTTTACTTGCTGTATTTTCTTCTTCCGTGCTCTCAGTTTTTATTGCCTATTGCAGGAATTTGTTCAGATTGAGGCATTGACCAGTTTACTCTAGATTACGCTCAGAGTCAGGTCAAAAAATCAGACATGTCTGATAACCTCCGACTCATCTGAAACATGATCGGGAGGCCAAAAATCTGAGTCTGTGCCCCTCACACTCAATTCTCTCTCCAACTGTGGACTAACCCGAAAATCTGCAGACTAGAGCCAACCAGCACAGACTCAGCCAGACTGAGAATCGGGATAAAATCGGGGTAAAAGTCGTGTAGTGTAACCCGACTTTAAGATAATACAGGTCTGGGGGCAGCCCATTGAACTTTTTGTCTTGGACAGTGGTACACAAACAAGAGTACACCCCCTCTAAACCCCTTCCCCAAATTCCTCTGGTCTGTGCTCTTTTAACATAGAGTACAATAATAATGTTAGCCAAAGAAGCTAGCAAATTGCTATCCTAGGCTAACAGAACTGTTTTTTACTTGCAATAGGTAACATTAACTTTTACTGTATGTAGTGTGCTCTCCATACGTTCATCCGCGTGCGTAATGCAGCTTTTCTGGGGACTTATCAGCCATATTAACTAACTTATGTTACATTAACAACAGGTTTGCTGTTCATTGGACAAGCGCACCATCGCCTCCTACTGTAAGCTCTACCTTTGTAAGGTGTTTTATAGGTTTCAAAATTTCACACCTGCTTTGTTCACACTCACATTTTTTCATGGGTGTCCCCAAGCTTTCTCTTTACGAGATCCTATCTGGCCCCGCAAGGCTTCACACTTCACGACCTAGTAGCTGGTACTAAAGCAGCAGTTCAAACCTGTGCTGCTAATACCGGATTGGGAAAGTAAACATCAGTAATTTCATTGAACATGCATTATTAATATTGAAATAGATTTTGATCATTATTGTTATTGTTTTATCACCAATCCCAGCCTTCATGTTATACACCACAACATTAGATGCTGCTGCCCAGCGTTTGACTGCAGTTCTGATCCAGATGCGGCTTTCCTTAATCCTTTATCCTTTCAGCTTACAAAGACCAGCTGCTGGACAACCACATGTGACATTACGTAATGAGAGAGAGAGCAGAAATGGGCAGTGGAGAGGTGTAGAGAGAGTGAGAGTGAGGGGGGTTTTAATCAGGCTTAGTGACGCAGGCTGGGTGAGGCAGGAGGGCAGAGGGGATTGGTGTAGTTTAGTGGTGTTGGGGTTTAAGGGGTCATACTCTAACTCACATGAGGATGTGGCTCTGATAACCAGCTGTCAACTCAAACAGCTGGCGCATACAAACATACTAGTGATAACTGGCAGCAACCGTTACATTCAGGCTCAGTTTGTTTGGAATATTATCTATAGATTATCTTCAACACTAAATGCTGAGTTTAGGACAGTGGCTTGGACCAGGTTAGGGCTAGTTTTTGGGTTTGTTTTTCTTTTTTCTGTTTATAGTTGAAGCAAATTGTACATAAAAATACACCCTAATCTAATCTTTACAGTTTAAGAGAGTGAAGTTTAGCATGAACATTAGGTTTAGGTTTATGGAAATGTTAAAGGGAATTTAATGGATATATTCAATGGAATGTAAGTTTGTGACAAGGTATGCATCTTTAGTGGTCCATCAAAATAATAATACATCTAGTCTTACACTGTCTCTCTTTTTTTCTGCCTGAGTGAAAGTTTCTATGAAATAAAGTAAAATTCCAGTATTACAAAAACTCTTCTGCTCTGATGATTTTGCGCTTTGTTCTCTTTTAAAAATTGACACTGGGTTCTGTTTAAATTGGTCTAACAGCCAATTTGTACTGGAATGTTCCAAAGCAGAATTTAACACTTCACTTAGCAAACACCCAGACGTTGTCATTGTTGCTGTTGAAAAAGCTGCAGAAGTGGATGCACATGTCACCGTCTGTATCCTGAGCAAAAACACACCCTCTTCTCTTTCTCTGTTGTCAGGAACATGTGATTCGGGAGGAGGCTCGCAGCCTGACGCCACGCCAGTGTGCAGCAATGGACTTGGTGCTTCCCACCATCAAGGTATCACTCTCTTTTTCTCTCGCTCCATCTTTCTCTCTCTCCCTGTCCATCGCTTACTCCTTTCCTAGGCACTGCTGATGATTCATTCCCCCCATAAAATGTCCGAACTTTGAGAGCTCTATGGTTCTAATACGGCTGAACCTAAGTGCTGGCTTTGACACAGTCGAGCATGACCTTCTTTTGGAGCATCTCAGGCTGTTTTCACAGGAGATAGCTTGTTTACTCACATGACATTTATTGTTTTCTTTTGGTTCAGTTAGTTTCACACTGCAACGGCCACAGTGCACCAAATTACACGTGTAGAAAGTCCTCTGTTATTCTTACATTCACCACCATAAAAATGGAAAAATAGAATATTGAGATGCTTAATGTCTATGTGTGTCTCAATCGAAGCAATAATAATAAACCTTACTTGATCTCTGCTTCTTTATAATTGGCTTGTCAATTGGACATTCCATATGCCAAAATCAAACGCATAGCATTGCTACTATTTTACTTTTTTAATTACTTTTGCTTATTAGCAGCAGTTTGTGTTGCAGGAACTGTATGAGCATCTGTCAAGAGTCAGTTAAAACAGCACTGGTGGTACAGAGCTGACCTGCTTCCTAAAGAAAACAAAAATATGCTCTAGCATTGAATTTCCTTGTTTAGTGTGGGCCGTTGTTAAAATGCATTCCTACCTGCAGCAAACTGAACCAGGGTACTCTTGGAAGCAGAACGAGACTCATGACCGCTGTTTAGTTCTTTGGTGCAGACATGAGTGTTGGGGTGTTCACACCTGCTAAAACGGACTAAACTGAAGAATATTTGATTGGTCCGGTACAGACAAAGTATGTATGAAAGCACCCTCAACCAGTGAGTTGACGTCTGGGTATCATGCTAAAGTTTTTTGCACCACAGACAGAACTTTATCAGTTACAATTTCTCCTTGTGTGCAGCATCACCTGCGTTGTACTGCAAGGTTCTGTTTTAGGCCCGACTTTATTCTGTTTATATGCCCCTGCTAGGCTCAAAGACTGTATCTCCCACTGAGTGAGAGAGGGAATGATATAGGGAGATCGAGTATCATTGGGGTTTTGTAAGGTCAAATTTGTTTACAAAGCGCATTTAAATCGACATATGTTGGGCACCTTCTGCCATCCCTCTTCTGGAACATTTTCTCTCTCTTCACCCCTCTCCTCACTCCCACTCTTTCTCTCCCACTGTCTCTTTCTGCTCTACAGAGTGTGAATGTACATTAACAGCAGCAGCTAATCTCTGTGTCTAGACTGATATCTATATCTGTCTCTGTTTGTCTCAATAGCCTTTATCCTTGCTAGCAATTTACCAGCCGTCCAGCACCGAGGCCTGTTGTGTGTTTATGTGTGTATTCCGTTCCCACACCATCAGCATACACACTGTCTATGAGCTATTTTGGGAGATGAAGGTCTGGCCGTGGGGTTCGTCACACATGGGAGAGTGTGGTGGTAGCACAACCTCACACATTCACAGACGTGTAAATAGATCTCTACCTATTTGTAAAACTCTCTCTGTGTGAATTGTCACTCTCTGTATATAAGTCCTGCCTCCATCAGCTCCGCTGTGGGTTGAACCGGTCCTGTTGTCTCCTTGGAAACGGGCATCTCCCGCCTCCCTGTTCTGATCAATCATGAAGGCAAAATGTTCCTCATTAGCATTCACAGTAGAGGAACCAATTAGGGGAGTTTAAAAACCCAAAAAACAGGCCTGGAGGAGGGCTTAAGTAGTCTGACTTAAAAAGGCAGCGTAGAGGGATAGTTAGCCGCTAGACTTGACGCAGTGAGTTGAAAAAGTAGTTAGTGGTGTGTTCAAAGGAAGAATAACAGCGCTGTTGTAAAGGAAAGGATTTAAGATTCTCTCATTTTCCCCTCACCTCAAATGTAGTTGTGTTTGGTGACATGCTGTGTATGACATACTTCTATCTATAAAACTGCACAGACATATAGATAAAATTCAGGCATGAATATGACTGCCACTGCTGTTTTCAGCTATGCAACACACTTTTGTCCATTGTTATAATAATACAGTGCTGGATAAAAGTCAGACACCACCTTTCATTTATTTCATTTTCAGTCAGAAAGGCCACAAGTTTGTCATTTTTCTGAATGAAATGAATGAAAAAGTAGAAAACACACACAACAGACTTACAAAACTACATGTTGTAGTATTTAGTTTGCTCACCCGTTACCCTTATTACAGCTTTCATTCTTCCCAGGAGACTTTGTCTTCAGCTTGGAGTTTGATTTTCTCCTCTCTCTCAAAGATGAAAGCTTTCAGTGCTGTTTATCTGATGGGGATAGTGTCGCTGGTCTACTAGGTTTTCCAGGTGGTTGTTAGGAATCCCATTTTCTCTGTAGCTTTTAATCACTTTTTGAACTCCAAGTTTGGAAACTGTTTTTTTCCACTTTCCCCTTCCTGAACCCTAGCGTTGGGGGGCGGCGGGTGCTTTAAATTTGCTTTCTCACCAAACTATTGCTTTAATCTGATTTGGTCTGTGGACTGGGAAATCTGAAATGTGTGGTTTTCGGAGATTAGGTTTGGAGTGGTCTCAGCAGGTCCCAGAATTTGGTCCAGTTTGGCGGTAAATTTAAATGGAGTTAGTGTGATTGGGTAGGTACTTCACAGATTTTGTATTTCTAATAGATTTTTATTCATACTCTCTTAGTTCCAGAGAGAGAGCTGACTATGGTGCGAGTTCTTCAACAGTGTAAGAACCCTGTAGAAAGCACACAGTGGAGGGTGTTTTTTTTTGTTCTTTTTCCGATTTAAAGGCAGCAGGGAACAAATTTCACTGCTTTAATGTAATTATCTGTCCTGCACTCCTGAGGATGGAACATCGTTTTCGGCTTCATTACTGGGACCCCTCCGCTGTCCAGCGCGATGGCTGTGTCGCAGGATTAAGTATTACACACAGTCGGACACTCGCCACTGTCATATTGTCATGAAACATCTCTGCAATCACACGCTGCTGCACCTCCCTGCCTGCACTGCTCCTGTAACCCATCGCTGTTTCTCACTGATACGACACTGACATTGCAGTAGCCTCCAGATAGAAGTGATGTCATCTCAGTGAAACTATTGCTGCTGCAGTAATGCTACCATGGATACCGTGGACCCTGCCTTTTCACTCCCTTTCCTTTTGGATTTAATTATTTGATACCATATTTAATTTAAGACTGGACATGAGACTGGACATCTGTGGGTGGTAATGACCACTTTCCTTTTGCGGATTCAGAGAACTTAAGGCAGGGGTGGCACCACACCTCCGAAAGTGGTGGGGCAGAACTTTTGGAAAAACAGTGTTAGAGGAACTGACTAAAACTAAATTTATACAGTACAGTTTGAAAAATGTGGTTCTTCAAGAGTTCTTTGGTAAAGGGAAAAGAGTTCTTCATGAAACCATTTGCATGCTTAAATGATTATTTGCATGGTGAAATGGTTCTTTAGATTGATGGAGAATGCATTGTATATGGTTCTGTATAACACCAAAAAGGGTTCTTCTACTGTTACAAGCTTGACATCGTAACAATAGCAGAACACTTTTTGGTGCTATGTAGGACCATTTTTAAAAAAAGGTGCTATATAGAACCATACACAACACATTCTCCATCAGTCTGAAGAGCCGTGCAAAGAACCATTTAAGCATGAAATAAATCTGTATAGAACTCATGGTTCTAAAGAGAACCATTCCCTTTACTAAAAACCCTTGAAGAAGCATCTTTTTTAAGTGATAGTGCTTTTTTTACTAAAGTTTCTACATTTTTACAATTTTACATTTTACATTAGTGAACTGCAGCTCCTCTCACTGAACACGAAATCACAAAGATTTCACTGTTGAGGAAATGCCACACCCCCTTTTCTGAAGTGGAGATTGGTTCTGCTGCTGAGTTTGACTGTCTGTTTGTGCATACTGGTCAGCAATCTGTGCAGTGTAAGAGAGTGGAGATTTATATTGATGTAAGCGTCCTGAACTCAATCGGGAATTGGTGGGGCGTCACCCCTGTGCTTTGAAAAGTGGTGGCTCACTCCTGTTGTTTCTGATGGCCATGGCTCAATGTGTCCACTAGGAGAACAAATATGGTGGTAAATACAATTTTTAAAATTGGGGTGAAAAAAAGATTATCATTCTTATTTTTATTATCATCTGAATAATCATAATCACATTAATCATAATGCCAAACAGTGCTACAACAACTGTACAGGTTGTAGGCCCGCGTTTGGTCAGGACCAATGAATGAATGACGTAGCACTAGAGATGTCCAGTCTTCAGAACTTTTGCTAAAGCTTCCATTTACTGAATAATAAGCCTTAGTGTGTAATAAGCCTTGGTTAATGTAAAGAGGTTTTATTCTAAGTGATTTTGTAGCATTTATGTTGGTCCATTCATCACAAAATTTTACACAATGCAAAGAGCAGCCACCATGTTCAAATGAAGGAGAATAATAACAATTGACAAAAATGGAGATACAGGTTTTTCTTTGGGCAGTGATGATATGATCACATCTTTTCGCAACTGAACAAACATTTTTGCACATGTGAAAGCACATTTAAAAAAAAGACTTTTTTTGTAAGGGAAACGCCACCAAAGAATTTAAATAAGTTTGAAAAACAAGATTTTTTTTTCAAAACAGCAACTATATCTCACTCCAGAAAGCGTATTGTTAGACTCAGATAACCAAAAACTGTTGGATACAGATGACTATCTAGCATTTAGCTTAATAACATATTTTGTTTTCCATCAGACTGATATTAAAAACCTGTGTGCGCACGCTGCAGTGTGGATAACCACATGAGACAGTCCATAGGCAGAGCGTCTAAGACTAGCTTGACCATTACCATGCTGTGGTCTGCTCTTCAGCACTGAAGAAAGGAGAAAGTCACATAATACTGCAAGTGTCAGAGTTTTATTGGCCTCTTGTAACAGTGCATGCGGCCCATATTTCATCCGGTTTCACATGGTGTGTGTCGCATTTGTTGAGCGT